CTGACCTCACCTTTGGTTTTATACCTAAGGTGTTTGTGCTAGTGTTCAGCCACTTGAGCTGGCCAGGGTAAAAACTTATATGCTCAGCTTGAGAGACCTTCTTTAGAACACTTTAACACTTCGATGCTATTCCATTTCGACTTTTCTGTATCTAAATCTCAAGCTTATCCCATGATGCCTTTCCGCATAGGTTGTGACTCACATAGAACCGCAGTTATTTTTTAAATGTTGCGGTTGGCAGACCTAATCCACTTTCGGGAGTTGGTTGAGAAACTTGATTTGCTCTCGGGAGTCGGATAAGTATTAACTCAACTCTCGTGAGTATTTTAAGCAATTTGATTAGCTTTCGGGAGTGAGCTATCTCGGATGACTGCTATAAACCAAAGAGGGGTTCTTTCTGTAAAATCTGGCCTGAGACCTGTAGTCTCTGTGGGTGGTACCGGCCATCATGCGTGTGTTGCAAATGTGATGGCGCCCACCAGAATTATAGAAAGAAGAAGACGACGAGTGCTCTCCAATGTAAGGAAATGCCGGTGCTGTTAAACACGGCTGCGACCCAACCTGCATCTACCAGCGCTGGTTCCTCGGTCGTTGTCGCCTTCCAAGATATATATCGATTTGTACGCCGTGTTTAACTCTCCCCAAATGTCGGCTGTCATTGCATTTGATTGTGATGATTGAGATTGCAGAACCTTGCTGCACTTCAACATTTCCGCACTGACCATATGGATATGTTGTCATCTGCTAATATTTCATGAGAGGTGTAAGATATCTGATGTCCGCATCCCGTGTGGTTGGAGGCTGATCACGGGACAGGCCGATTAAAGGGGCAGTACGGCGGAATCGATTGATTTCAGTGGTATACTGCGGTGCGGTACCGTCTGTTATTCCATTGATTGTAAAACAATCATGATAAGTGGCTACGCTGAAACATCCAAGCGTATGGGGCGAAACAAAAAAGGAGTACTGTGATGGCGAGGAGGTCTAACCCCTCCATCTTGAATTTGAGGGTTTCTGAGTGTTAATTGATAATCAAAGAGCTACCATGATGCGTGCTCGTCCTGCTGACTTCGCGAGAACGAAACCGTCATGTACGAAGAAGGCGCGATTCTCGTTGATACGACGAATGTAGCTCGCTGCTTCTTGTCTGTTCTATTCCGCCATGGCAACTTTTTCGTCTACTTCGTGAATGTCTATGAGGCCCCGGCTTCACGCTATTGCGCCGTGGTGAGCTAATTGTTGGTAGTACATGGCCGGAAAAAGACCTTGTGGTTGCTATTTCACTTGCGGGGTCTAATCCGAGTATAATTGATGCGTTACGTCAGGATGGACTGTCCAATTGTTTTGGGGCAGCTTTCCTGATCGCGCGAGGGCGTCTGCTGTTGAGTTGAGGGCTCCTGGGAGATACGCAATTGCGGCTGTCCATCTCGCTTGGAGGCGATGTATGGTTGACGCCAAAGTCATAAGTTCCTGATTCATGAGGTAACTGCGTGATTGGCAGCGACGTAATGCCGAGAGTACTGTCGTGGAGTCGGCGAGTACAACAATAGGTTGTTGTATATGGAGCTGTTGGGGTACCAAAAATGATGAAGGTATCGAGCTATTGCTCGTAATTTGATCGGAGACCAGCATCATGCGTATTTCGATGTCTGGATCTGCCCCCTCCGATCTTCGAAGCATCGGTAGTGAGCGAGTGATTGCGAGGTTTCTCGATGAATATCTCTCTCGGTTGATGATACATGAGCGAGTGTATTAACTTCTTCAACTACTTGGACGCTGATCCGGAGCGTCGAGCTCTTGCTTCCCAAGTTTTATGCTTATTGCTTGCCTTGTCGATGTAAATCAGAAAGTAGTTAATTGCACAAGGCCGAGGTATCGCTTCCAATGTTTTAGGCTGATCCAACGCTGTCTGCTCAGAAGTTTGCACTGTACTTTCGATGGTTTTGTTGCATTCTTGGAAAAGTCGTGTGTCAATCTGTAGAGGTTCACAGCCAAGTCTATAGGTTTACTGCTCAAACTAGTGTGATCCAGTGACCCTTCTCCAACGCTGGACGTAATCCCATTTTGTGGACGATAGTGACTATGAAATTGCGATGCATGATTATCATCGTACGTGGGTATAGCAACACCAAGTCGTCGGCGTACAGGACGATTCGAATCCCTTTGGTTCTGCTAAGTGTTCGTAGAACGTTCATCAGGCAGTTAAAACAATACGGATTGAAGGTTGCTCCCATCGGTAGCGCTAGGTACTCGTATAGGTGGCCTTGCGGTCCCCATATCTGGCACCATTTGGAACGCTGGTCCTCAGGGCGAAGAAACCATCCCGAAGATCCGTGGTCATCATATAGTCTGTTGGGCGTACTGTGATGGCGAGGAGGTCTAACCCCTCCATCTTGAATTTGAGGGTTTCTGAGTGTTAATTGATGATCAAAGGGCTACCATGATGCGTGCTCGTCCTGCTGACTTTGCGAGAACGAAATCGTCATGTACAAAGAAGGCGCGATTCTCGTTGATACGACGAATGTAGCTCGCTGCTTCTTGTCTGTTCTATTCCGCCATGGCAACTTTTTCGTCTACTTCGTGAATGTCTATGAGGCCCCGGCTTCACGCCACGCTACGATATTTGCTGTGACGTCTTGAAATAATGGTGCGAGAAATATCTGTGTATCAGTTGGTACTACCGGAATTTCCGTTGATGATGCGTGGTGATTTTCCGACATGTATACATATAGTGTGTATGTTTAGGGTGATGGCTTTTCAAAAGGATTCGTGATTCCTTCGAAAGGATTGGTATTTTCCTTATTTTGATTACCACGTGTATTGTGTCCTCGACCTCTGTCTCTATTCTTAGTATCGGGTGGGTGTGCGGTCTGCCTATCCGTGTTCGGTCGATTTTCTTGTTGATGATTTGTATAATTTGTATTGGATGCTCCCTTGATGAGGGCAGATTCCTGCTTCTTTTATACGATTGCTCGGAATGTCTCGGCCTATTCTCCGGCGATGCCGTGGGCTACGCGATGTTTGTTTTCGACTAGAGCTGCTACAGCTGCGCCTTCACAAATATATAAAATATTTGAGATTAATTCACAGACAATCCCCTGCAGTGCTAAGCTGTTTTTCAGGGGTGGTGCAGGCAACTGCTGACTGATTCAAGTCTCGGAGGAGTTAGTTATTATGAGTAATATGATCATTGAGTTCACGTTTTACCGGTTCTGCTTTTCGTTCGTACCAGCTATGGCGTGGTACACGGACGAGAGCGTAGGCCGTCCGGGAATTCTACGTTCTGGCAAAATAGAAAGAAGAATAGTTCGATAGGTTCGCCTGTGGAGACCGGAGACTCTAGTGCTACCTTGCTCTGAAGCCACCAGGCAAAACCTAAGTTATTGCTAATAGGGTGGGAACTACGAATGGGATGGGAATAGTCAGGGTGTATATAGCCGGTGTTCGCAAAGGCCTGAAGGCCATTTGTGTGAGTTCGCAGTGCTGTGCTAGTCGGGTCTTGGGCTAAAATTTCCAGTTGCAATGCCTGGACGCCAACCTGGTTCTGCAAGGCTGTGATGAAGCCTTGTTGTTGTTGCAGAAGTTGGCGTATTTCATGGTCCGCCATATTTCGATGTGATCTGCCGGAAGGAGTTGTAAAGTCTACTCTCACGATTGGCCGCGAGGAGAACAGATGATTAGAAGGATCTTCTGTTCTACACTTTTATACTTTGCTGGTGTGAAAGTTCTAAGGAATCATGTGAGTGGAATGGCAGACTGTGATGTCATTCCAGGAATATGATGACATAAACATAAACAGCAATTGTAAAAATTGCGTATATATATATATATATATATATATAGTAATATGTATATATATATATATATATATATATATATATATATATATATATATATATATATATATATATATATATATATATATATATATATATATATATATATATAGTATAGTTAGTTAGTTTAGTTTAGTTTCGTTTTTACGTTTTACGTTTACGTTTACGTTACGTTACGTTACGTTACGGTTCCGTTAACGGTTCCGGTT